CATGGGGTCCTCCAATTTTTAACCCTTTGAATGTGTCTCTCCGCTTCAGTGGAATGTTTGAATTCTGAATCTTCTGTGGTGTTATTTATGTGACGTTTCATACACAAGGCAGTTTATCCAGAATGTCAAAGATATAGTTAAACAAAATGACATCCCGTCGCTATAAATACCCAACTATCCCACAAACTGCACCAGGGCACAGACAGAGTTCTGACTCCTGTCCTCTGAAGATGCCGGCCACAGAGACTGGTGAAACGTTAGGAAGAAAAACCCTCAGAACACGGCCAAACAGCCCAAAACATCTACAGCCACTGTTGGATCCCGGCCGTGAAAGCCTTCAAGAATACAAAATTATATTGCCATACCCTTTGATAAGAATAACTGTGTGCCATCACATCAATTCCAGCTTATGGACAATGCACACCAATAGTTTGCCATTCCCTTCTATGGGGTGTGGTGGGGGGCTTGGGACTGTCCAGCTTGCCCAAGGCCACACAGGCTGGCTTTACCTGTAGAAAGCAGAATACAAAATTATATTGCCATACCCTTTGATAAGAATACCCAAACAATGAAAAAAAATATATAATACATGCCATTATTTATGTTGAAACATTTTTCGCCCCATCAGTTATATATCATGAGGGGGGGTCTTAAAATGTGAAATGTCCCAGGATTCACCACATCTCTCAATGGGCCTGCTTGGGGGGTGGGACTCGTTCTTCAGGTAGAAAAACTCCCAGAAATGCTGGTACTGGATGTCTGAACTGAGAGTGCCTCTCACGGTGTTCAGTTTGGTCTGTTCCTTCTAGGGTTTCCCCCCTTGCTCCAGACCTCCACATCGTCCGGCTATTTCGCGGCTTCAGGGCCACCAGAGTTTTGCACGTCCGTCTCCTCCAAAAGAACAGAAATGCATGGTTTTCTCTCTCTAGCAAAGGCAGACACAGAAAGGGAAGGAAGACAAAGGTTTGGTCATGCTTAAGGCCTCGATCCAAGGAGGATTTGGGGTGACGGGCAGAGGATAAGAATTGGCAGAGCTGTGTCCCTAATCCTTATCACGTCTCCTGTCCCCCTCCCTGCTTTCTGTAGTACCTTGGTTTACGTACGCCTCCATTTACGTAATTTCCAGATTACAAACGGAAACCCATTAGAAATAATGCCTCGATTTACGTTTTTTTTCCCCACGCTTTCCTTCAGTTTGTGAAGGACGTTTCTCCGCACCTGGAGGTTTGTAGCACCGTTGCCATAACTATGGCAATCCGGGTTTTGGTTTATGAAATTTCCACATGACGTAATGTTACAGAGAATGTTTTAATTTCATAAACCGAGGTACCACTTTATACAGTTTCTGAATCACTGCTTTCCCCACTAAAGTCCCTCCACCAACCTATTGCCATTGGGAATTCTTTTCTCCTGCGTTCACATCTGGGTGACTTAACAGAAACAGCTTCCCAATGTGTCAGACAGAGAAGGAGGTCCAGGGAAAGAGGGTTTCAAGAATCTTCTGGAACATCATCTCTCTCGCACCTTTCTCCACAGATGCGCTGAGTGTCGGGCCATTTCTGGAAGGAAGAACAAGCAGTTTCTTTCCTTTTTATGGGCTGTCTCAAGCTTCCTTTCACATCCAGCAAATAATAATAATAATAAAAAAATACAACAAAACTCCATCCTTTCCTATCGCCTCCTCCTGAATCATTTCTAATCGCCCAGCAGTGGACAGCTGTCTCTGGAGGGTGAGATCTGCCACTGGAGTCTCGGATTTCAGATCCCGGATCATCAAAGTCTGCCAAGGAGGGGAGGGTGGTGCCGGCTCAGTCCAACCTGCAGCAGCCAAGATTTCCCTTTCCCCCCTCGAACCTGGCAGGGTCTCCTCGCGAGGAGGAAAAAAAAGGGCTGCTTTCAAGGCTAACGTCTCCTGCCTCTCACCCAGAGAGAAGCCCCGTCTCTCTTTCAAGAAGGGGGGAGGAAAGAAAAGTGTCTCCCCAGGAGGGAGAGAGACCCCCCTCTCCCTCACCTGTCTTGCCCCTCTCCCAGTCACCCCCCTCCTCCAAAGAGCGGGACTCACTGGGGAAACTGGTTTCCAAACCCACCCTCCACACTCCCTAGATCTCTCTCTGTGTGGGGGGTGAATATTCTCGGGAGGGGAAGGCTTGGCTTTGCAAGACTGGCAAGGAAGGAGGGAGGGGAACCCCCAAGGCAGGAGGGGGGAGTATTTTAATGGGGGGATCCCCCCAAAAAGGAGACTGTGTCCCCGCCAGCCCTTCAGAGGGAAGAAGGGCAGGGAGGCAGGGAAGGGGAGGAAGGGGACCCCATCCAGGTTGCCCAAAAGCCCTCCCCGCACCCCTTTGCCCCCCCACCCGCAAAGCCCAGCCCTTGGCCTTCTCCTGCCCTCCCTCCAGGGCTGCCCCTCCGCCTTCTTTCCCCTCCCTCGTCCCGTCTTGAAGGGGGGGGGCTGGCTCACCCGTTTCCCGGCTTCCAACGAGGCCCCCCGGAACGCCCTAGAGGGGGATCGTGTGCTGGGAGGAAGGGAAAAGAGGGCGCACCATAGCACCGGAAGAGGAGGAAGCGCCATTCCTGGAGGGAGACACTCTAGGGCATTCCTCGCTGGGCTTTTGTGCTCTTCCTTTGGAGGGGAGGCCTCTCTAGGAATCAAGACGATA